TTGGCCTCTGGCATATTTTTTTTTTAGTTGTGAGAAAAACTAAAAGTCTGAATAAATTGTTTACCATGCCCGGTTCACACAAAGCTAGCTTATTTAGCATTTTTCCCCAAGTCTAAACACGATCAACAATACTAAATATTTTTATTGTACATGAGAAGATTGCTACAACGAAAATAGAAGTTTGAGAACTGGATGCAAACATGTGATAAAGAAGATCAATGTAGGACTTCACTGGTGGCACAGTGATTAAGAATCCGCCTGCCAGTGCAGGGGATGTGGGTTCAATCCCTGGTCGGGGAAGATCCCACATGCCACGGAGCAACTAAGCCCTTGTGCCACAACTACTGAGCCTGTGCTCTAGAGCCCGTTCTCTGCAACAAGAGAAGCCACTGCAATGAGAAGCCCACGCACTGCAACGAAGAGTAAATACACAAAATAAATACATACAAAAGGCACTCTTTGGCACTGAATTAATGAGTGACTGTATAACAAATACATTTCCTTAAAAACAACACAGATTTTTCCACAATGCTGAGTCTGCTATGTGGTACTTATGTTCTTTAATTCTGCTCAGTTTTTCAAAGTGAATAGAAACAATGCAATTTAAATCCTTTCATTATCAAGACATAGCCTGAGTTTAGCTTATGAGCAGTGTAGGGTGTAGGACCATATATTTAAATGGTCAGACCTCTGGCATCACAAGGATTGTAAATAACTTTTTTCTCATTCCTAAATTTTCTAAAAATAAGCAGAGCTTTGTATAATCCCACATGCACGGAGCAACTAAGCCCTTGTGCCACAACTACTGAGCCTGTGCTCTAGAGCCCGTTCTCTGCAACAAGAGAAGCCACTGCAATGAGAAGCCCACGCACTGCAACGAAGAGTAAATACACAAAATAAATACATACAAAAGGCACTCTTTGGCACTGAATTAATGAGTGACTGTATAACAAATACATTTCCTTAAAAACAACACAGATTTTTCCACAATGCTGAGTCTGCTATGTGGTACTTATGTTCTTTAATTCTGCTCAGTTTTTCAAAGTGAATAGAAACAATGCAATTTAAATCCTTTCATTATCAAGACATAGCCTGAGTTTAGCTTATGAGCAGTGTAGGGTGTAGGACCATATATTTAAATGGTCAGACCTCTGGCATCACAAGGATTGTAAATAACTTTTTTCTCATTCCTAAATTTTCTAAAAATAAGCAGAGCTTTGTATAAGGGAATAATAAGTATTACTTGATATGAAAGTTGCTTTATTCTTAAAACTTCACGTATTGTTGTGCATCCCTACATTTTCCCTGCCTCCAGACATCTCCCTCCTCCCTATCAACAGACATCTCAATTTAGCATCTGATGGCTTAAAATGGTTTCTATAATCTAGTCCTGAATAACACCCATTTTAAAGCATGAACAGTTAAGCAATAAAAATAAACACTTGTTGAAATGTTTATTGAACAAACGTAATCAATTTGTTTGAGAAAAGATATGCAGGGTTAAGTTTCTTGTGAGGAAAAATCACATTGATAACTCCAGTTTTTAAAAAACCTAAACATGGGAGGTAATCATGGTTGGTGTTTACAGAACATTTTGGGGGGTGGGGGAGAACCAATTTTATAAATTGAGATTCTGAGCTGAGAAAACTATCAGATGAAATGGCAGGGATCAAAAACTTATTTTATTAGAATTCCATTTTCTGGGTGGAAAACTAGTATTGCAGAGCCATTTAATGAAAACAGTTTTGCTGGGGATTCAGATATGCACTGACATACAGTGACAAAGTTTAGATTGAGACTTTGTCACTATCTCCAGGAAGTTATATATTTCACAAATTTTGCTATTTTAACACTTAAGTATCACACAGACACTGACATCATAATCATACCAGAAAAACTATACTATTTTTATGTGTATGGTCATTAATGATCTTTTTTTTAAAAATATTTATTTTGGCTGTGCTGGGTCTTAGTTGCAGCATGTGGGATCTTCGTTGCGGCATGTTTAGTTGTGGCATGTGGGTTCTTTGGTTGCGGCATGAGTGTGGGATCTAGTTCCCCGACCAGGGATCGAACCCGGCCCCCCTGCACTGGGAGTGCAGAGTCTCACCCACTGGACTACCAGGTAAGTCCCTGATCTTTAGTATCTGGATGCATTCCAGGTCATAGAGCAAACACAAACTTTCAGTTTTGGGTGTTTTCAGTACAGTTCTTGTGTAGCTCCTTTTGAGTAACATATGTCCGCTCAAATAATTAACACGGTTGGATATTATACCCTCAAAGCAAATGTCTACTGAACCTGTATTCTAGGAAGAAATAAAAAAGAATAACAAAAGAAATGTAATTGCAACCTAATTTCCTAGAGACTCTTAGAATACTTACTTTTGAATACTGGCCCCATACTGTTAGTACATAAATATTCTTCTTGTAACTCAAAGTTCATCTTAGGAATTTTTAGTCAGGGGTAAAAAATCTTACAAAGAAACTGTTTAATAAAGGATGTTAACATTTTACTAAGCAAGAGATGCTCACTTCTCTTCCCACAAAAGCCAAACAGATAACAGTGAGTGTTACTAATGTTTTCTATTTATTCATTAATAAAAAGTGCATAGTACAAGCCCTTTATCCCAATCCAAGTACTCAGTAAAAGATTACAATAAACCCTGGATGGCACAAACATGATTTGTTTGGCATGATTTAAACATTTAAAAACAGCAATTAACATTTGGTACATCACATGACCACCTTTGCTTTTAACAAAGTAATCATCAGACATGATAACAAATACATGACTTCTCATTTAGAAATATTATAATGTTAAGACTAAACCTACTATTGCAACAACAAAAATTTAACCCATTAACTTAAACTCTCTCCATTTCTCCTTCAAGTTGTTCTGTGTCTTAAGCTGAGCTCGTCAAATTTTAGCACATATTCATTTAGAGTGACAGACTTTGATTCAGGGTGACAGACTTCTGAGGTTCCTTTGAAGATTTAAGATAAAGATAATTCTATAAACACTGTAATATCGCGTACCACAAAGACACTAAAAGTAACCATGGAAGAGCTGTATTTAATAGTTACTTCTGAAACTTTCTCCAAGTAGTTTAAAATATGACTTGCTGACCATGGGATAGTGCTTGGATAAATACATGATAAAATCTTTTACTATACACAGCTCCAATGTTAACTTTTTCCATGTGGAAAGCAAAAAAACATTATTTTGCATAAAAGACCATTAAATAACTCTAAAACAAAATAAACTCTTAATGGCATTTGTGGAATGTTTAAGAGCCAAAAGTGATTAAAATGTGAAGCTTTATCTTTCTTTTTTCCAGATTATTTAAAAATGACAGTAGCCACAGTTCAGGTGAATGTTTATAAGCCAAGTAATGAGTAAGAGTGTGCTCAATAAAAAGGCCACATGTAGAAGCTTTAGGAATTAAAGAGAATAATGTGAATTATTAGTTAGGGTAATAGAAATACTTTATGTGCTATGGCACACTGTCTTTGTCAGGAGTGCAGAGAAATTTTACAAGCAAAAAAACCAAGACTTAATACTTCACTAAAAACTTTTGTTACTAATTAAATAGATGGTCCAAATAGGAAAAGGTTAATATTCTAATGTAATGTCAATTAAGTATATGTGACAGAAATGAACAACTAGGAACAAGAACCCAGATTTCCAGTTCTCTAGCTAACACTAGACATTCTGTTTCCATGTCACAGCCACTTCTTCAACCAGTCAATTCTTAATTATTTGTGAGCCACAGATTCAGTGAACACATCAGTATCTTATCCATAGACTAGCCTTCTAGCAGCCTAGAGAGCAGATTGTTAGGACGTATGTGCTAGCCTTCAAAGTTCAGGAGCAAAGACAGAAAAAGGAATGCTTATAGGGATTTAGCTCCATTTAAGCCATTCCTGCCTCTCTGCTTTAAATGCTTTAAGAGTTGTAGAGCTGGGAAGGCTTCTAATAGGCCATATTGAGAGAAAAAACCTGAAATCTATGGTGTTCATTTATCCAGGATTTGACTTACCTGTGTTACAATACCCCTCAATTAACACAAGTAATTAAGAGTAGGTTATATTATTTCAAGAAGTTGAGGACAAAGCCAAGATGCACAGGAGGAATGCAAGCAGTCAATAATGGACTATATAATGAAATGAAGCCCTTACAGTGTTTATAGCCTAGAATATAATCATAATAAAGGGGAAAAAATACCCTATGAGCATCACATAATTGTATCAGAGACTCTATTAAACAGTACAATGATATAGAGAAGTTTATTCAATTCATACAAGTAATTTCTCAGATCTACACAGTTAAAAGCTAAACTGATCTAGCGGGGGAAAATCCTTACATTGATAGCAAAATATGTTCCAGCCCCCATAAATCATCTGCAATCACTTGCTAGGAAAAAATTCCATAAGCACACAGGTCATGCAGAATTTTTTTATGCCATTTGTATTCATTTTCTATCAAACTGAAAAAAAAAATGCAACCTTTTACATTTTTTCACATTTCAAATTTTTACTTATATTAATGCTCCTCCCCACCCCAATCCATCCTATTACCAAACAAGAATGAGACAGAGGTTGAGAAAAAAAAAGATCCTTGATGTTTCTCATATTCCTCCTTTTCCCTTGGAGTAAATCAAGAATTCATTAAATATTGTTTAAAGTCAGAAAGATAACAAGACTCAAAATTTTTTCTTCAAAGAAAATAATAGAGTAAATAAGTAAACAGGATTCAAATATCAGTAACCAAACAGGCCCCCAATACAGCTTTAAGATAGTTTCATTTAACAGGGAAGTTTTACAACAGAAAAGCAGCTTCCTGAGAGGCACCCACTTCAAAAATAAATTATAGCTTAAATTATTACTGTATAGATTACACCTGGCAAATGCAGAAAGAATTAAATTTTTTCCTCCTTTCATGAACTGTGTAAGGCTAGTGTACAGTGGCTTACAAATTTCATATAATGGACTGTAAATCATCCACCATGTTTAAATCATGTTTAAGTTTTCTTATATTAGACATTTTTATGGGAATAAAAACTTAGTAAACAATTACTTCATTTCTTCTTTCCTCCTTTTCTTTGCCACATAAGCCAGTTGTAGTGGATGATACAGATTTCAGCTGTAACTTGTAAAATATTCCAAAGGCTGTCACAGTCCCAAGAACTAGAGAAAACTGCCATCCACAAATAAACTACCAAGGTTAAGTGTAAATACAATGTGGTTCTAATTTTCTTTCATACAATCTCAGATAACCCCAAATAACTTTATAAATACCTTATTAAAAAAAAATTTTAAACCCATCAAGACTATTTTAAAATATTTAAATGTAGAGATCTCAAATTTCCTTCAATCATTATCACAAAAAGTATGATCACAGTTACAAACAGAATGAATGGAATGTTTAAGTTTAGGATAACCAAAAAAGCCCCATGTAACTTTTTAATGTATCATTTACTCAAATATAGGAAAGGCGATAACACAGGAAGCAAAAATAAGCTTGCAAGTGAAATTTCTAGAAGCTCATGAAAACAATACCATCCCATATTGCAGATGCAAAAGAAAAAACAGTTCTAATGGGGTTCAGAGTACTCTGGTCATCTTCGTTCATTTGGTCGTGCAAGGTGTTAACTATTTTTACTTCCCATATCCACAAAGTTAGTCCACAGGAGGGGCTGGTGGATCCTGTCCCTGGCATTAAAGAGAGAGGAATTATGAAATTGACTTCTTAAATCTCCCAGTGCAACCAGTCTAACACAGTAAGAATTGGGCAGCAATGCCCCTCACCTTCCCATCCCAAATCATATACTTATTTGGACCTCTTGTACGTTTCTGCACAAGGGAGCACTAGATTAACACTGTGATTCACCGATGTTTGTCTCTTTCTTCCTTGTAGCATGGAAGAAAGGAAAATTTTGTAACAGTGATATTGACTTAGGTAAAAGTGCTCTCCCTGACAGCTCCAGAGGTGACATTTAAACCAATCAAGGTAGTCTCGTCCCTCTTGCTAAGGTGACTAAGTACAGTACAATCAAAGTGAAGCTAAAGACATATTTCTCACTACAGAATGTCAGTCAATGAGGAAGTATGTGGCACCAGTTGCAACTGGCAGCCGCCCTATAGGGACCAGAAAGGGAGTCCACCTTGGAATAAAGCTAATGGTCTAAGGAAAGAACCCGGGTCTTTGATGACGCTGTTAAACTTTCTAAACATTGATCCTACCTCTGGATTTTTTAATGTGTAAACCAATAAAGCCAATTACTTAAACCAGGCTGAACAGATTTTTTTTTTTTTTTTCCTGCGGTACACGGGCCTCTCACTGTTGTGGTCTCTCCCGTTGGGGAGCACAGCCTCCAGACGTGCAGGCTCAGCGGCCATGGCTCACAGGCCCAGCTGCTCCGCGGCATGTGAGATCTTCCCAGACTGGGGCACGAACCCGTGTTCCCTGCATCGGCAGGCGGACTCTCAACCACTGCGTCACCAGGGAAGCCCCTGAACAGATTTTTGTTACTTGTAATAGAAAGCTTCTGAACTGTAAAGGGAAGAGCAGACCTTTTAGGAATCTTCAGGAAGATTCCATTTATTTACTCTGACATGCTATATGAGGCCCTAGTTGAGGATAATGAACTTTTCTACTTGGAATTGGTCAATATGTTTTCTTGCTTATTCCTAGAGCTGTGGGACTATTATTTTTAGAACTGCTGGTCTACAATGAACTAAGGTTCAGGGGACTGTCACTTTTGAATGGCTTCTAATTGAGTTGGGTTTCTTTAGTTCCAAACATTGAGGATGTTGCTCTTTGATATGAAAGTAATAAAACTGTGCACATAAAGAAAAAAGGCTTAGGAGAAAGCACTTTATCAAGACAATATACAAGCTGTTTTATGGATACCCTCCTCTCCAAGAAAACCCTAAAATAAATTTAAGTCATTTTATATAGTGTTAATGATGCCTTCTTTCTTAACTAAAGGCAGCATGCTACATATATGCATGTTTTAATCCTTAAAAAACCCAAAGCACTGACCAGTTAACACTGCACATTTGCTTTCTCCTGTATAAGCAATTGGTCTAACCAAACTTCTTTTTAATAGTAACAACGAAGGATTGGGGAAAAGAAGCAATTATTTTAGGTTGGAGAAGGGAATTAGTGGGATAATTTGGTGTTCAACAAGTAAATCCGTCATGGAAATATTTTTAGAGGTAATATCCAAATCAAATGGGAAAGAAAAAAATATAAACATTGGTTCTGAAAATGATTAAAGGAATCCTTTAATGGAGGCTCTATCAAAAACTCCCTGTTGGGTCACTTTCAGTTAGGCTCTAAAAATGGCTGTAATCATGACTATCAAGATTTATCAACATGAATGATTCCTACCTCTCCTTTTGCCAGCTCAGTTGACCTACTGTGATGCAGAACTGGAAGAATGAAGTTGAGAGAAATAGGATGGGAAAACAGGTTTAGCCAGATAGGCTCAGTGTCTCAGTTGTATTTGATAGCGAAGACACAAGTGGAGAAAATGAAGAATGTGTGTGTAGAAACATTTGAACTCTAGCTACTAAGAGAATTTGGGGAGCTGGAAGCATACGAGGCAAGGGATCAACTGTGAGGTGGAGAGAACTGGGTAGTGGAAGACTGAGATTTGAGAAATACTGCTGTGGATTATTATGAACTGGATCATTTTTTATGTTTCTCACATGAGTAAAGATTGGAATTTACCTTAAAATGATTTGGGGGCTACTGGTCTGTACTTCTCTCTAAATGTAACTCCACAAAGATTAAGCCATTTGGGGTTTCAAGATTTACTAGGACTACATAGGAAGAACTTACTCCGTGAGCTAAATTTTCCTTTTGCTAATGCAGGTATTTCCGTCAAAACAAACTCCTCCCCTTTCCCAGACCACACCCATCCCCCCACCCTAAAACATTTCTAATCCACAACACTTACATTATGAGGACCAGTTGGTTTTCCAGTTAGGTTGGATCCTCTTAGATTAGGAGGTCTCAGTAGAAACAAGATCACTGCAATAACCATCCAGGCCATCAAGATCATAGTAATACTGATGCCATTATCACTAGGGGGTCCTGGTACTAAAGACAAACAGAAAATGTATTTGCAACAAAAACTGTAAAAAATTATAATATTGTTAGATAAATGTAAAAACAAATCCTAATGTTTAAATAGCAACTTGAAAAATTATGTTATATAAAAAAATGCATTAGTAATTTTAAGAATTAAATATTACAGCTTCAATTTCCCTTTCCTCCTGTGAGGAAATCTAAATGGTAAATGGTGTAAAATACTCATAAGCCAGAGCCTATTAAATAAAGATTTTTAATAGTATAGTAGTTCTTAATATTTTGGGGCAATGGAATCCTTTGAGAATTTGATAAAAAAGGACTCTCTTTCCACTATAAGAACCATGCATACACATTCAACAATTTTGCATGTAATTGCAGAAGATTCATGGACCCACAAAGCCACCAATCCATAGATATACTAAGATCTACAGAACTCAGGTTAAGACCACATGATACACAGTTAAGACACTCTAGGGGTGAGGAAATTATGCATTTTAATTACAGAAGTAGCATGAAAAAATAACAGAGCTTAAGGAAAAGGGGACACCCACGTTGTACAATATATGAATTAATATCCCTTTGTGACATTCTCAAACAAATAGATATTAATTTGGCATTCCTTTTTGCAAAAAGAATTTGGATTCAGACCTAGATATTATAGTCTATGCCTTTATCAAGAGAAAAAAGTCAGGTTTCTGGGTAGGTATCAGTCTTCCAGCTCCTTAAAGCAGCCACATCTTAAATATTTATTTAAGTACCTAGCACAGTGCCTAGTTCATGGTATGAACTTAACAAATTTCTAATAAATGAAATGTATATTAGAGAACTCAAAGTATCAAAAATGAAAATTCTATAAGATTAGATTTAAATAGCCTGTCAAGACTATGTATAAATGTTTGGTTTTGGTCTCACTGCCTCAGGAAAAAGTAAAAGAAATCCAGACAAGATTCTGAAACTAAGCAGATGCATTATGCATTACATTGAGGTCCACAGGCCCAGGGCCGAGGTGGCACTGCTGAGGCCAAAGGGGACAAAGTCAAGCAAAGAGCTGAGCTATCCCAAGAGCAGACTGGAGAGGAACCTAGTCTCTGTTCCAACCCAATCACTTCTCCAGGAACAAGTAACACAGTACTCAGGGGTCATCAATTTGCAATGCTTATCACACAATGAATCAGCATTTCCCCCCTCTATACCCATATCCATTCCTTTCCTTGTTCCCTCCTATTATATGTGCCTCCCTTCATAACTAAAAACCAATTTCTCCACTTAAGTTTTGGATCCCATCACTCTTGCAGAAATTTATCCATTATCCTCTCTTTTGTGAACTCAACACCCTCTTCTCCATTGCAGCCATCCCATAATCACTTAAACATGATAGTTTCTCCCATATTTAAAAAATATATATATATATCCTTCCCTCAACCTCT